GTAGTATGTTCATAAAGCAGATGAATATGACGAAAACAATGAATATTAAGGAACGGCGCAAGCGAAACGTTCGAAAGAAGTAACACACGTAAGTAAGACGTCTTGGGAGTGAGATGAGCGGCGTGGAAGCAACATAGGAGTCAGACACCATAGGTTGAGAGATTTGTACTAGGTAACGTGCTAAGACTGTGTGGTCAAGGAACCGACAGGATTTGGGAGAAAGGGCACACGAGAAGGGAGCCGAGATTAGAGGAATCAGCTAAAAAGGGGAAAGATTCTGATGATATATATATGTATCGAATGAGGCGATGCTGAGTGTGACTCGTGAATATGAAGGGAAGGAGGTGAAAGGAAGGACAAGGGAGGTTAGTAAGATCAAAGAGTGAGGAGAGCAAGGTGCGTGGGAAGGGAAAAAGGGCTCGGTACAGGAAACTGAGAGACAGGTTAGAGGGGAATTCTGTATCATTATGAAAATACTTTGGTGACCGTCATGGTGAGGTGTTGGGGCGGCGTAGAGACTGGCTCAGCCTGGAAAAGAAAGATAATATATTAGCCCAACAACGGAAGTTGATGTTAAATATTTGTTGTTTATTACCGACAACAAAGGTTAAATCATGATAACTATTCCTACGAAGATTATATAAATGAGTATTTAATGTGTTATATCTGGCATGATTAATTTTTTTAAAAGTGCTGTGCTAGCGTTCTATTTTCAGTGACATAATTCTATTGCAGGTTACGCACATGTAAGCAAAGTACATTTAGCAGGAAACCCAAAATAAGAAAATCCAGGAAGAAACCATACACATAAGCGCACACTTTGACACATATATAATGTAAAGTGGTACAAGAAAGATATCCTGTATTTACATAGATTTCCCCTACTTGTGGGTCGCAATGTAAACTGGTAATCCAGGTGGCAGACAATTTCAATAGAAATATTGAAAGGAAGCATATTCAAAACAGTGTAGTTGCAATGGAAGATAAGTTTTTATCTTCACACTTGAAATAGTCATTTTTATAGGGGTCATTTTGTCATCACTCCCAATGAAAGCGATCGAAATCCCGTCCGTTTAATGAAGAAACAACCGAGATTTCTTAAGCGACAAGTCACACGGATCAGACAAATAAATGAAATACAGATTTTTCTGAGAGTATGAAATCATTTGTGAATTATAGATTCTTGAGCTTTTGCCACAGTGAGGATCAGCCAACATTGGGAAAGTGCGGTATAGAAAAAGGGATATTTTTAAAGAGGATGTTGAAAAGTAACTATAGAGAAATCCATCACTGCCATTAGGTAAGAGGAACCATGGAGAGGAACAATATAAAAGAAAGGACCCCTACGTATGCATGAACTTTCTTTTTTATTGTTAAAGGAAATTTAACTTTGTCTTAAGAATAGCGGGGTAAGAAAGAATTATATGGTTTTCAAGATGATCAGTGGTGTTAATATTTCCAAAAGTTCCCCCAGAAATCTACTTTGGGTAATTCTGAACTTGTTTGATTATGGTAAATAAAGTGGTGCTGTAGATTTTCTTGAAAGAGTTATATCTGGGCACACTCATTTCTCTACACACACACACAGATAGATAAATGGATAGAGAGAGAGAGAGAGAGAGAGAGAGAGAGAGAGAGAGAGAGAGAGAGAGAGAGAGGAGAGAGAGAGAGAGAGAGAGAGAGAGAGAGAGAGAGAGAGAGAGAGAGAGAGAGAGAGAGAGACAGACAGAGAGAGAGAGAGAGAGAGAGAGAGAGAGAGAGAGAGAGAGAGAGAGAGAGAGAGAGAGAGAGAGAGAATAACACCGCAAGTACAGCAGTTCATTGAGAGAGGCCCCTAAAGACTCTGAAATCCCCTCGCTCACCTCTAAGTCTGACGTGATGTCTTGAGAAGCTGCCGTGGCTTGACTTGCTTCAGAATTTCTTCCCAAAACACTGATCGAATCTTCTCTATTGATGCAGCTCGGCATGATGCTTGAGGTACAGAACTGACTGAGAGTATATCACCCTCAGGGAAGTGCTGCACGTACACATCTGACTACGGTAATGTATTTCCTGCTTGTACACTGCTCGTCGTAGTACACTTGAACGTGCACGGGGCTGACCAAAGCACTTATTCGCACTGTAACTATCATTGTGCTGATGTACAAAGGTTGCAAGTTACTATGCAAAGGTGCACATACAAAACCTGCCATTTTTCAGTGACGTACATACATAGCTACTTACATCACAGAGAAGCACATACAGGGCTGTGTACATTATTGGATGTATACAGCCATGTACATTGCAGTGGGATACATATGACTGGATACAAATCAGTGATACACCCATACTATGTACAGGGTACTGTACCCATACAGATAGCTACCATACAACAATATATGTGCACGGCTGGGTACATCATGGTATTGTACATAGCTGTGGACATCATGTTGGCACACGTACACAGTTTATGTACATCATGATGGTGCAAGTATACAGCTGTCTACGTCTTTGTATAGTG